TCCCCACATCATTATTTACTTTAATCAATTTTTGTTTTTTTAAGTTCATCCCACATCATTATTTACTTTAATCAATTTTTACTTCATTATTTACTTTAATCAATTTTTACTTTAATCAAATCGCATCACAATGGGTAAATAAAAAAAATGATTTTTTAATAATTAAGATTCTAATTTCAAGTTCATCCTTACATCTTATGAGTTTTATTATTATTATTATTATGTTATAATTTGCTTGTAGTTTGTAAGCAAATTTATTTTTTAAAACAATAAAAACCAAAATTTACTTATAATTTATAAATACTAAATATCAAGATTTGCTTGTAATTTATAGATACTAGACAAGTTTATAGATACTAGACAGATCTATTTTCCCAAACAATAAAAACCAAAATTTGCTTATAGATTTATTTATAACTTGTGAGCATTGAGTACTGAAATTGACCTGTCAGTTTTACTGGTTTTTGAACAATAAAAACCAAACCAAACCAAAACTAATCAATTTAAACTAGTTTTGATTCAGTTTCAATTTTAAATTTTTAAAATTAATACTATTGATTTAGTTAATTTTTTTATATAAAAATCCAACCAAACAAAAAATAATCAACCCAACCTCGTGAATATAGCTGCAGATTTCGGTTTCCTTTTCCAGCAAGAACTTAAAAAACGTCTAAAATGTCAAGAACATTTTACATCCTTAATTACCATTAAAAACAAAAATGTACCTTTTTTGAAATGCAAATGTCAACAACTATCCAATAAATAACTTGGCAACCAAAATCCCCTCATTTTCAACTCCTATTTCACAACACAATCCATCCGATAAAAATGATGCTTGTGGATACCGAGTATGCTTAGCATCAAATCCCTGCACATGCAAGAGTTAATTAGTACAATTACCTACCAGCATACATAATACTTCAAACTATTTGAGCAGGGTACGATCAACTAACTAGCCACAAGTATCTTTCTCGTAAGTTTTTTTCTAATATTTTCCTATTTCCTTGGTTGCAGCCGAATTCTACACCTGAGCCACTGCTGCAGATGGACACTTCCCCAGTGTATTCCACAATATATAATCCCCAGAAGTAACCTGTTAAATTAAAACAAATCATAATTTTAATAATGGACAGATAAAATGAACAAAAAAAAAACCACAGGAGATGGATCTATAATATACTTCCATTCGTTGTCAGCTCAAAAGAAAAGGCACTGTCAATACAGAGTTAGGGAAAATGAGACACAGGATGAATTCATCTATTATAAGCATGTAATTAATTTTAGCTTCCAGGGGTATATGTGAGACTTGTATGAATCAAATGAGTGTCATTACTTGATGGAAACCAAATAAAACAAGTAATATAATCAATGCCAGAAATTTAAACAAATGACTTCAAGATATCAAACCTTGTTTCTCCTTTTGATTAAGACTTTAAGATCACAAGATGTATTTATCCCATTGTATAAAGAGAAAATGTAGTCAAACCTAAATATTGGATGTCTCAAAGAGGTGATAAGGTGATGACAGGATCAGCACAGCAGGGGAGGGAGTTCCAGATATTCAATTAGATTAAAACTATGACCACAATTTGACCAAAATCTATGAAGAATCTCTCACTATCATTGAACTCAACAAACACACGTGCACTAATTCACAGCATTAAACAGACAGATTTTACAATAGAACAGTTCCAACTGAAATCTGAATATCTACTCAAGTTTATAATTTTTGTTTGCAACATCAAACTTTATATAATGGGGATTCTGAAGATAAGCTTACCTGAGATGAGAACTCCACAGGTGCTTTAACAGCCGGATAGATGCTAACCTACATAACATCCACAAAGTAATTAGAGAGTGGCATGCTAGAATGTGCATGTCAGGTAAAATCTAAAATCAGGAAACTCCTTAAAAACCATTGCTATATGTACCAGTTGCGTCTATGTTTTTCCAAAAAAACCCATTAAAAATGTCGAGTATAAAATATTCCACTTTGAGTTGCAGTGCATGGGGGCTTGGGGAGGGAAGGTCACAAGTTCCAAGCTAGGTACCATTCTAACCAGAAAAGGTAGAGAATGCCAGCATGTGTTCATGCACATAGGCAAGCACAAGGAAATCCTTGTGAGAGTTCTGGGAATCCAATTTGCGTTCAAAGAAAAAAAAATCCAAGAATTTTGAAAACCTGGTCCCATTTAAAGGACCCAATTTTACCTTCAGTTCCCTAAGGTAGATAATTTGTACAAGAACTATTTAAAATTACTAAAATATAAAATCATCATTGTGAATTAAAAAGTGAAATCACGCACAACATATGAGCTAAAATGACTAGATGATATAAAAGTTGTGTTGTCAAAGGCAAAAGGTGCTAAAAGGCGCCAAGCTTGTAAAATGCCCAAGGGGCTAGGCGTTGGGTGCTCACCCGAATGAACCAAGGTGATATGCTATAGATTAAAAAAATATATATGTATAATTATATTATATTATATAAATTTAAAACATATATCTTCACAATTAAGATTAGATTATTAGAAAATCAGAAGAAAATATAAAATACCATAACATAATAGTACAAAGTTATATTTTTTACTCTTGAAACAAAATAAGATAATTTAGAATAGTAAGTAGTCAAATAGATCAAAAAACAAACTTAAATATCATCATCATTATTCATTGATCTTCAAAAACATCTTTATTTCTTGTTCTGTACTTGTGTTATTGTACTCTAACTCTGTTCAATCAAAGTGTGGCTGATGTTTCCCTTCAAAAGTATCCTTCCTTGACTGCATGTCTCCCGCACTTTAATTATTTTTTATTCTTTTTTACCCTCATCTTTGTTTTTTACAAAAATACCCCTAAGTTATTTCTTGTGGTAAATTAAAAAATGGACAAATAGATCAAAACATAAATCAGTTAAAAAAATCCAACAAGAAAAGAAGTATTTCAATAAGGCGCTCGCTTTAACGCCTAGCGCCCACTCACAAGGAGCTTGCCTAGGCAGCACTTCATTGAAATTCATCGCTTGAGGCTAATAAAGGTGTTGTGGCCTTACCTCGCATGGAGCACCTCAGTGCCTTTTGACAACACTATATGTAAGTCATTGATTAGATTAGAGAACTAATAAATATAATTTAAGCCATTGCTAAATAGTCTCTTATGCATTAGTACTCCACTCAACTAAATAGGAGAAAACAAGGTGAATGGCATGCGAAGCACGCATCACAACAATTAGTTGATCTAAATAAGGTGAAAAGTTACTGTTTGTCATAATTTATTACAGCAGGACGCGATCTCTGAAAGGACCACATAGCAGAAGGCCTAAATCATTAAACTAGGGTAAATGATACTATTCTTGACATGTGAATTTGAGTTGTTAGATCACACAAGATGATCAACTACCAATTGTCCCTAACTGCAAGAAGAAAGTTAAAAGGAGTAACAAACTTACAGATTTAGGATCGATGGACATCCCTGATAATGAAGCCCCGGCTATCTTGAAAGATACCTGTAATGAACAAGTTAGAAATGTACAAGCAAAATGTGATGTCAAACCAAAAACACATTTCAGTTCAGTATTATAACAACAGATTTTATTCTGCAACTAATAAATCAATACAATGGCAAGACACTAAAACATGGTATCTAACCATTCATTGTTATTTATCATTTACATCTATATTAATAACAATGTAAATATAGAAGAAACCAACAAAAGAACAGATTACTGAATGATATCAATAGATTACTATAAACAACAAAAAGATTATGTAAACAAATATCAAAAGACAACCATATACATCAAAGAAGGCACAGAAACTTCCAGGTTAGAAATATTAAAAATAGAAACCAAAGTTCAATCCCTTGTTTTGTAAACAGTTAAAGCATATTCAAAGGAGTACGGGCTATGCATTAGGAAAGATGTTTTCTCTAATCCATGAAACTAATCAAAGGATAAAGAAATAAAGACTTCAAAGGATAAAGAAATAGAGATAAAGCACATACTTTAGCATATCTGTATGCAGAGACAAAGCACATACTTTAGCATATCTGTATGCCTGCCAGCAAAATGGCTCCTCTAGATCAACTGGAGGAAGATCCTTGCTCATTTTTTCCATCAAGAATTCCTCCACATTTGCCATATTGCTTGTACTCTCTATCTCAACATCACTATCTTCATCACCCATTTTTCCGAAGCCAGAATTAGAGGAAGGGAATCTTTGGATTTGCCATGGGGCAAACCTAACTGTTCCAGGGAAAGTCGCTTCAATACTTTTCCCAGAAAGGCTCCGACCAATTGGGATGATTTTCCATTCAATCGAGTGCTCCGTGGTTAAAACTGCTCCAACAGAAGGGGTCCCATCAAAGGAGACAACCCTTCTCCTTGGAAAAGGCATAGTCACCATACAGAATTCCATAGTCAAAGGAGCCTTATATCCCTCCATTAGATGCAACTTGAATAAAAATGCACCTTCATCTTCAGAGACCATTGACAATTGGTAAAATCCTTTTATAGGAGGACCAAAGCCACAATTGGCCTGATAACGCACTAAAACAAAATTGCCTAATGGTGGAGAAAACATCACAGCTTGCTTATCAGCACCATGTTCTGAAACTTGGGCACAGGGATGGAATGATAAAACCTCAACATGAGCCTTGTTCAATCCTGACAAAGGAAGTGATACATCAGGCAAACCTTCCAATTCTGCTCGACAGTTTATTTGACCCGAGACTGATATGGTATCTGAAATCTCCTCCCGGTCATACAAGGCAGCATGAATAGTCTCATGAATTGTGAAAAATATTCTTTGCTTTCCTTTGAAAAGATATGGTTTCCATGCTGGTTGCTTGAGATCTGCAGGAGGCAGATCTGATAAAGAAAAGCCATTAGCCTTGATAGCAAAAATATTTGAGTAGTTGAGATCTAAAGGAGTACCTGCAAAGTAGATAGACAAACAGCCAACACATCAAATAGAATTAGGAATTCACATTCTGATCCAGAAAGTAAATGTTATAAGAGTTTGATACCAACAAAAACATAACTAAAATAACAAACCAAATGGCATTGCGCTACTGATGAAATTTCGAAGTGTATCTTTATCCAAGGGCCTTGAACCAAGTTTTGGAGTATCGGCTGTAAGAGTCCCAATTGAAGCAGCGCCAGAGGGTGTTGCAGATGCAACTGGTGCAGCCACAGGTTTTGCCCTAGATGATATACCTGCTATCCCTATGCTTCCAGTTAGAGAATCCAACAACCCTCCCACAGATGGTGCTGCATTCACAACCACATCCGGATCTACCACATCACCCACAATTATGTCACCAATAGCATGTGCCACCATGAATGCCCTGTAACAAAAAATAAGAGAGCAAATGATCTCAAGTTCAAAGTTCAAAACGATTTGACTGCCATATCAAAGTCGAGTCCACAAAATTATGTGAGCCTTTTATCCATTTAAGCCTATTTTGTACACATGACAAAGTGTAAATTAGAGGGTTAGAATCAATTGAACCAACACTTATTCTATGGTATTAGAACAGCAATTTGGGAGGATTTACAGCTCAATTTGCAAAACAAAAAATCCTGCAAGTATAGTTACTAGATGATCACTACTAACAAGTAGCAATTCATATATTTGTGGAAAGTAAAGATATTATACAAGCACACTGTCACCCGATGCCCAGCGACCAGCAATCACCAGTTGACAATTTTCCTTAAAATCTTCCTTCTACTGTCTGATTTCATTTCCTCATCAGAGCAAACAGTTCTAAAAACATTGCAGTACCAAACTCAAGATATATTGACACGCATTACACTAACTAGTTAGCATATCCATCCTATATATCCCACACACCAAACATTGAGCTGACAGTTAATGAGAATTCACAAGCCCTGACAAAACCAGTGTAAATCGTCAATATTTTATTTATGTTCAAAAGTTAACTTACCATACCCTGTGATGGACGGGGTATCAAGTAAGATAGAAGACAAACTTGCATCCACTCCAACAGCATTTCCACAATCCGATTTCCTACATAACTTGGCGTAGGCCTTCAAATGCACCGGCTCAATCAATGGCAACACGAGAATTACATAACTTCCCCTTAAATGCAAAATCAAAGGCCATAACAAATGATTATCTCCTCCCTTCTCCTTTGACTCTACATTAATACTTATTATATGCCGCGTAATCGGATCATCCACCCATGAATCCGACCCTTCGACCGATTGATTATTCACACGAATACCGTATCCTCGCAATGATCCCTCACTGTGATTACACAATTTAAACATTAATAAATTAAAAGTAGTCTTGCGATAACTATAGATTGGAGGAGACTGGAAAGGGTATTTTTAAGAATCGAAACTGACCGTTTCTTTCTCTCAACAAAAGCGGAAGATAGTTCGGCGTCGTTTGGGAGAAAGGGGAAAACGGTGTACTTGAGAGGATCTTCTTCTGCATCTTTTGAGGTGTCGTTTATGGTCTTACAAGCAGCACGCCACTGCTTCTCCACCACCGGGAATTTCCTAATTAGAAGATCACGATAGGGCAGAATTGTCGGTGATCGCAATTATTGTTATTATTATGAGAACAAAAGGTTGAAATCGACGGAGTTACCGAGATAAAACGACGGCGTGGAGGCTGTTGAGGATCCAGAGAGCTCTGATGCTGCAACTGCTAGGCATGACTTCGTTGTCACTTGGTAAAAGGGAATAACGAAAAAACCATCTGCTTCTAGAGCGAAGCTCACAGAGAAGAGGAGAGATGCAAGTCCACGTGTCTTCTGGATATATTTTGTTAAGCTGTGAAACGATGCCGTTGCCTGAAATGTAATCTCGTTATTAGATGATTCTCTTCAGCTGCTTCACATGACAGAGATTTTTTTAAAGATAATTTTAATAAAAAATGTATTAAATTGGAGCATGCTTCACATGACAGAGATTTTTTTTAAGATAATTTTAATAAAAAATGTATTAAAATAATATTTTTAATATTAATATATTAAAATAATTTAAAAATATAAAAATAAATTAATCAGCTAGGGATTTTATCCATTAGTGTTTTTGTTATAAACAAATAATTTAAAATATATTAAAATATTTTTTTTATATCAACATATAAAAATTATTAGAAAGCACTAAAAATATAAATTTGATATTTTTAAAGATAAATACACTTTAAAAATATATTCAAAAACAATTTAAAATAAGCTCCTAAAAAGTCACTTGTTGAGATAAAAATAATATATTTATTATAATTTATATTTTGAAAGTATATAAATTCTTAGAAATCATTCTATACTTTATTTATTTTTTTAATCAAATATTTTTTTTATTTTTTATTTTTTTATGAAATATTAATCAAACACAGCTTATGAATGCAACATACATGCACCAGTTAATATTTTATTATATCCATACTTTATTTTATGTTTTTTATGTTTTCATCTTTATTTTTTTAATCAAATATATTTTTATATCTTAAAATATTAATCAAACATAATTCATAAATGGCAATATACATGCACAAGTCAGTTTTTCATTATATTTATACTTTATTTATTATTGAACTTATAATAAATTTAGATATCCATATTATTTATTGGGGCTAAGGCATTTATTATTTAAGTATTATTTATTAGTTATTATAAAATAAAATAAAATAAAATAATAATTTTCTTGATTTTGATATTGCTAGTGGAATTTCTTTTCTTTTTTTTCAATGATATAATGTTTAAAGTTTTTCTAGCTTTATGCTCCCTAAATTTAAATTTTGAGGATAGGGATTTCTTTTAAAGATCATTTAAAATAAATTTTAATTTTTAATCACATAAATTGATCCAAGATTATTTTTTTATGGAATAATAAAAAGAGACGTCATTTTTTTATATGTGAGTCTTGCTTTTTTTATAATATTCATTAGTTAGGTGTTTGTGATCAATCAAGGATTAAACAAATGTATTTTATAATAACTTGCTAATTTTATCATCATGGATATAAGATTAGAAAAACTTAAAAAAATCAATAAAAATATAAAAAAATGAGATGAACTCTCAATCAATTAAATATTAAAAAATAAAATTGAAATAATCAATTTTTTAAAAAAAATACTAAAGGATCTTATCTTAAAACAAAAAAGAAATTAAATGAGAACATGATAATCTTATAAAAAATAAAATATAAAAAAATAAAAGCTCAATCTCTAATAAACAAAATATTGAATGACAAAATAAAAGAAAAAAATTAATATAACTCCACCTGTGTAAGCAATAAGCATGCAAACCTATGACTTGATTGAGATATTAAGGTGATCCCATAAAAAACAAATTAAATAAAACTATGAAGCTGAATCATAACAATCTAATATTAAAGGGTAAGATAACCCGAGTTATTTTTAAAATTAGTGAAACATCCAATATAAAAAAAAATAACGAATCTTAATATTCAATTAAAAAAATATTAAATGATAAAAAAAAAAAACATGAGCTTTAAAACAAGAATAAAAAACAAGAAAATTAAGGCAAATCTCCTAAACCTTGGTTTATTTCTCAATTTTAAATTTTGTAAAATCCCTGAATCAACTCAATCAAGAAACTTAATTCCAAACCAATTTATTATTGAATGATTAAATCAGGAAAAAAAACAATTTAAATAATTTGATAAAGTAAGAAAATATAAATCAAAATAATGAGGATCAAATCTAATAAGAAAAAAAAACTAAAAGATAAAATTACAAAAAAAAAAATCAATCTTAGAAAGGAAAAAAATACTTTGGCCTTTGACCCTTATAATGTTTGTCATTTTTTCACTTCATCTCTATTATTTTAAAATTTTTACTTTACATTCTATAGTTTATAATTTGAAAATCTAATAAAAGACCCTAAAAATCCAAAAAAAGGATAACATGAGCCTCTCTTTACCAACTACTCCTTTTTCCGATCCACAACCAATACTGGAATTTTTTCAACCTTCGTTCATCAACAATATTGAAAATAAAAAAACACTAAAAACAAAATTATCTCATCTTAACTATTCACCACCCATACCATAATTTCTATTTTTCCAATCAAGCAAACGCAACCCTTCTTTCACCCGAAGCCAATCTTTTTCATCAATCCATAGTCATCATCTTAATCAAACAATAACCCTTCCTTTTCAAGACTAAAGTTGTTTGACACATCTAATTTTGTAGACTTTATCTAAGATTCCATATTTTTTAAAGATTTTAATGGTTGAAAAGTTGTGCTAATAAATCATATTTTTTTCCACTAATCTCATTGAACTATATTTAATTTAGCTAAAATCATACGAGACAAGGTTCAATTAACTCATTTAATAACACAGAAATAAAAAGAAATAACATTAGCACAACGAATGACAAAGAAATCAATTACGTTAATGAAAGATAAGCTTTAAATTGACCTGTCAAGATCTAACATACATCATCTGCACTCATAAAAGACCAATACTAAAGAAATCAAGTCCTACTTTAGAATTTATTTTTGTAGTCACTCTAGTATATCCTATCTACCAAGCTATCTGAACCCCACCCCTTCTAACTTGAAGCTTAACATTCAAGCTTATAAGAAAAATGAGATCTATTGATAAGAACAATATCACACCCCACATGGAAGATTAAAACTAAGCAAAACAGAAAACCATTTCAAGAATTTCAAATGCAAACATTATTAAAAAAAACTTAAAGAAGAAAAAAAATAAAAAAAACCTAGAATTTAATAAACAAACATATTGGGTGACTTTAACTGAAAATCAAAAGAAAAATGAAAATCCAATAGAGAGCCAAGCCCACAAAACCTAATCTAAGGCTTAAAGATAGATAAAATGGCAATAATCCTACCAAAAATCTATTGAAAATCCCTAACCATCACCATTGCTCTTTCATTTAATTACCACTTTATGATGGAGGCAATTACAATTCTAATAGCGTCTTTAAAATTAATAGCAATGTTAGCAGATCAAATGAAATAGGATAATTAAGCAAACAGACAAATAATTCTATTAGAAAATTGATTTTTGGATACATCATGACTTCCTTTCAATACATGAGAGTTTTTTAATTCTAAATTGAGAAAGAAGAAGTCGTAAAATGAAAAGATAGAAGGATTAGGTTTTTGAGTTTTCTGGTATAATATACATAGGGTTGTTTTGCTTGATTTGAAAATTTTATTGACGAAAGATGTTTTATATAATTTTCAAAATAATGGAGGCAAAGAGTAAATTATAGGATGTTTAGAATAATTTTTTCTCTCAAAAAGTATTTCAAATAAAAAATAATAATCAAAAGAATAAAGATTAAATTTGATTTATAAAGAATTAAAAGATTATGAAATTAAAAAAATTATAATTTGATAAATTATTTCATATAAAATAAATTATAATAAAAAAAATAATGAGTAAAGCAAAAGGAGAAAACAATTGAAGGGTTGCTTTGAGATTTTGAATAGTCAATCATCAAAATTGAGAAGGAGAGATAAAAGAAAGAGAAAAAAAAAAAAAAATGCCATCAACACCTAACCCAAAAACTGTTAGCCACACATATTATTGTATAATAGTGTGGCCACCATGCCGACTTCAACACCATTACAAAAGGTGATGTTTGTTTATCGAACAACTCCATATATGTTGTTCATGCATTAAATATGATGTGCCAATAACTCTTTTCTAATAATATTTATATTTTTTAAATTACAAAAGATTCCCTGGGTGAACCTTAATATAACAAAAAAAAAAACTATTAAGAAAAGATGAAAACATCCTTAGATATAAACCTTATAATTTTTTTTATTTTAAGACAATTATGTCACTTCACTTTCCAAAAAAATAAAAAGATTAAAAAGCCCCTCTTTTCAAGGTTAATATTCTTTTTTATTTTAATGGTATTAACATCATTTTACTATAAAATAAAAAGATATAAAAGCCCTCAAACAAATTTTTTTTTTCTTTTTTGCTTTAAAGGATAACAAAGTCATTTTACTTAAAAAAATGAACAAACTAATTTGTTTCTGTTTAATTTTGTAATATTAAATATTTATATGTGTTAAATTGTCAAATAACTGTTGAGCGAACCTAAATATAATAAGAAAAAAAACATAAGAAAAAGGATAAAAACACCATTGGACACCAGCCTTGAAATTTGTTTATAGGCAATTACATCATTTTATTATGCTAAAAAAATAAAAAGACAAAAAGCTCATTTTGCAAGGTTAATATTTTGTTTGCTTTTAACGGTATTAACACCATTTTACAATAAAAAATTAATAGAATTAAAAAACTTATGTACAAAAATAATATATCTTTTTAGCTTTTAAAAATAATAAAATCATTTTATTTTGCTAAAAAAAATGTGTTTCCAATCAATTTGTTTCCATTACATTGTTACAATTCACAATGTAATAAGTTGAAGACCACTATATTTTATTGATGCTTTTAGGGAGTGTTTGAGAGTTTGATTGTAGTTGCATTTTAAAATACTTTTCACTCATAAATGAATCAAAATAATGTTTTTATTTTTATTTTTTAAAAATAATTTTTAATATCAACACATCAAAATGATCTGAAAACATTAAAAAATAATAATTTGAAGTAATGAAAAAAAATCTCAAATTTTTTTAAAAATACTTTTGAAACACATAAGCAAACATACCTTTAGTTTTGCTTTTTAATCTATATGTTCACCTTTTTATCAATTATGGATTTACTTTAGATAATGGCTAGTATTATTTGTTTTTATTTTGTATTTTAGTATATTTTCATTTTTATTCTCTTTTAATTATTTTTTACTATCTCTTTTTTTAAAATATT